GTCTTAAATAGAGCAGCAGGTTGACGTCATCATTTAACTCATTTCAGGTGCAGTGATTTTAGGCAGAGGGGGGGTATTGTAATTATATAATCTATTGGTAATCAGTCAATGGTTATGATTAGTAATGAGTTGTAGATTAGTAATCAGTTGTAATGTGTATTATTGTGATTATATGCTACGGTAGTAATCCATTGAAATTGAGAGAAATAGAAATAACTTTAATCGCTTCTGACAGCTACAGGCTTAGTGCGGCTTGGAAGCGTAAAATAATACATACTACATTTCCTTATAGGGGAAACGCATACTAATTAACGGCTTACTCACGTAGCATATAATCACAATAACACACATTACAACTGATTACTAATCTACAATTCATTACTAATCATAACCATTGACTGATTACCAATCGATTATATAATTACAATACCCCCCCACCTAAAATCGCTGCACCTGAATACATTAAATGATGACGTCACCCTGCTGCTCTATTTAAGACCGGGAGCAAGTGAGGGCTTTACCATTCTGGAGAATTGCCCGATGAAGCTGGATGTAATTACCAGCGAAACGTCGTACTCAAATTTTAAATGATGTTGATTCACTCTTCAACACACCAGTGGGCTAAAGTAGTGAACTATTTGTCCTTTGTAAACATGACACATTTTTTACTATTTGGCCGTGTCGGGTGGTGGAGGGTTACGACACATTTATAAATATCGCGATCTAACCCAAAAACCTTTATTATGAATAATATTGGTCGCGAAAGCCTACGTGTTAAACTGACGTTACAAAATAACTGAGCGTAGGCATGTTGGCCGTTATTATTATAAATAATTTTAGAGGAAATACATTTATCTTTTTTTTGTGTTTACATTTCAACACTGGCATTCATATGATTTATGATGCCACTGGACGTCTTGACTGTTCCCATCACTTTTTCAACAGCACTTAAGCACCCCCACGCAGCGCTACAGATTATTGGCTTTAGTAGGCTATTTTCTTGGCGTGTGGATCTGTTTTTTTTAATTTATCTCATCAAGTAGCATGAGTCGTATCAGAAATTTGATTCAGAACAAAGCCGCTCTGTTGATCCGCAAATCCACGAAATAGGATCCGAATTGGCCAGTCGGAATGATCTAGCACACTTGTGGCCGGATTTGAGACCAGTCATGGACCAATGCAACTCTTTTTTGCTGCAATCAGATTTCCTTTCAATCATATCCAAATGTAGCAATGTCAAGCCAGTCTCCCAAACCCAAAGATGGGATGAATAATAGATTATGCAATTTCCAACTATGGCTCAATCTGATGGTCCAGCCCTCGTGTTTGTTTTTGTAGCTTTATTTTGGTCTGGTTGTGGTGTAATAGTTTTCTGCAATGTAGATTTCTCGTGGTGCCGGACGAGCAATGCTGTCGTGGGCAGTGCTGTGAGGGGAGGGCCAATTCCGATTGGCCTTTCCCCTCATTGCGTTTGTGACCAACGCAGCGGCCAAAACGGGGCTCTGGACGGGGGGTGAACAGTCCTCTTCTCGGGGCAGGAGATTGCCAAACAACAGGGAGTGGCTCTTCTTCTGAACAAAATAATGAAGGGGGCGTGGGAACATGGTGGTTAGATGTGGGAAGCTGTAAGCCCCAGGCTACTTTGGGCTCACCTTCCCATCAACCAGAGGTGAGGAGTGGTGGTCATGGTTACTTATGCCCCCACTGAAGACGAACATCCATGGAGGGATGCAGGCAAAGCCAATGAGTCAGATGCATTCTATGACCTCCTGTCACAGGTGCTGGCTAAAGTGGCCCTTCGGGATAGAGTCATCTTGTTGGGTGACTTCAATACCCGAGTTGGTCATGATGCTGGCACCTGGTCTTGAGTGATTGGAAGGCATGGGCCAGATTAGCTCAATAACAACGGAAGGAGGCTGCTAGATTTTTGTGCAGCCCATGGACTTGTAATTACCAACACGCTGTTCCGGCATCGGCGCATCCACACAACATCATGGATGCATGCCGGGTCCAAGCACGAACATCTGCTGGACTACTTAGTGACGGAACAGCGGATGCGGGCCCATGTCCTTGACACCAGGACCTAACGTGGAGCTGATCTGCCCACTGACCATCAACTTGTCATCTGTAAGATGCGCCTGCCATTCTTCCACTCCAGTGGTGGGTCTACACCCAGGACCCCATTCAAACCCTTAGTGGCATGGTCTCAGCTAGCTGATGAAAGTTGCAAGCGAGAAGTTAATCATCGCTGGAGTTGCCATTATCCCCCACTCCTCCTGATGTCGAGGGGAAATAGGCGAGGTTTAGGACTGTGGCTCATGCAGCTGCAATGGCTGCTTTGGGTACACGGTCCAGACCTCCCCAGAGACCCTGGCTGACAGAGGAGATGTTCAAGCTGGCTGAGAAAAAGCGACAGGCCCACTCTTTTCGGCTACAGCATCCCACGTCGGAGGAGGCAGCCTTCGCTCGGAAGTTCGGAGAGCTGTGAGGCGCTGCAAGGATGAGTGGTGGTCGCGGGTTGCTGAGGAGATGGAGTCTGCCTCAATAGCCGGCGATCACAAATCACTCTTTAATTCCATCAAAATAGTAACCTGCAGCGCCACACTTATTTCCATCATTCGGGGAAAGAACGGTGATTGAATCTCCGACCCCCAGGAACAGGTTTGCAGATTTGCGGGCATTTCTGTGAGGTCCTGGGGGAGGGGACATCCCTCAGCCTGGATAATAACGTGGGACAAAGTGGGGATGACCCTGCCGAGGCTGCGGTGCCTCATATATTGGAAGAAGTCACCCCCTGTGAGTGGCTGGCTGAGGTTCCATCTGTCGAGGAAGTCATGAAGGCGATCCAGAGTCTGAGACCAGGAAAGGCACCGGGCAGAGATTATCTCCCAAGCAAAATGCTCAGGGAGGGTGGTGTTTGTGCACAGACTGCCCTACATGACAACATAACAACAGTTTGGACCACTGGACAGGTTCCGCAGGACTGGAAGGATGCCCTGGTGGTCCCTCTCTTTAAGAAGGGGGACCGCACAGACTGTAATAACTACAGGGGCATCTCACTCCTCAGTGTGCCGGGAAAGGTCCTTGCAAGGATTATTCAACATCACCTTGCTAGGCACGCTGAGGAGAGGCTTGCGGAGCCCCAATGCGGTTTCAGGAAAGGGCTGTCCTGCACAGATGCCATTTTTTTCTGTCCGTCTGGTACAGCAGAGGAGTAGGGAATTCCAACAAGACCTACATCTCTGCTTTATTGACCTGGTCAAGGCCTATGATACCATCAGCAGGCCTAGGCTCTGGGTAATTCTTCGTGCTTTCGGAGTCGCTGACCCTCTGCTCACGATCATTTAGGACCTTCATGATGGTGAGCGGGTCCGGGTAAAACTACGTGGCCGGGAGTCGGAACCATTCCCTGTACACCTTGGGGTTCGACAGGGATGTCCTCTGGCTCCCACATTATTTAACATCTATTTCGACCACGTAGTTTCTGAAGCCTTCAATAGCTGTACTGGAGGAATTTCCATCTGGTACAGATGCAATGGGAGGCTGATCGATGCCCGGGTGCGGTCAAGGGATGGCTCCCTATTGCTCAACTATGTTATGTATGCCGATGATCTGGTAATTGCTGCTCATTCAGAGGAGGAGTTTGAGGCGCTACTGTTGAACCTGGAGCTTGCCACTAAGAGGTGGGGCATTACCATCAGCCCCACCAAAACTAAGCACCTGCCTGGGTATTTTGTACCATTGGACACTCCACCCCTACAACTCCCAATTGGTGGAGAGTTTCCCATACCTGGGCAGTGTTCTCATGACCGGCTCCGGTTTAACAGCAGAGGTCTCACTCCGAATCAGCGGCATTATCTTTTCATCGGTTGCGTAACGCTGTGCGGAAGCTACCTGGTCTGTCGCTCCGCACGAAGCTTCAGGTTTTCTCGGCCACGGTCATTCCCTCCCTTCTCTACGCTTGCGAAACGTGGACCCCCCTAATGGAACATCTTCGCCAGTTAGAAACATTTAGGCTGGCCTGCCTACGATCCATCCTGGGTTTAACCAGGCTTGATTGTGTGAGGAGCTCACAAATCCTTGAAAGATCTGGACAAAGTCCCATCGGTGTGCTCGTCCGGCAGGCAAGGCTGCGTTGGCTGGGCCATGTAGCCCGCATGCCCAGCCACCGCATGCCTAAACAGCTTTTGTTCGGCCGGATCGAGGGGGCAAAACGGGCGCGGCACAGGCTAGAGAAGAGATGGAGTGATGTGGTACAGGAGGATGTAGAGCTGAGTGGACTTGCCGATGACTGGTACCAGCGGTGTCAAGATCGGCCTCTGTGGAGGAGGCTCGTCGAAGGATGCTACCGGGCGGTTGAAGGCAGTCGCCCTCCAGCAACAACAGAGGGCGGAGGAGCGACGCTCACAACAACGAGCGGAGCGCTGGGTGGCTAAAGCACAGCAAATTGACCCAGTAGGGGGCACAGGTGGTGCATCAGCCAGTCATTTCAGTCAGTCGACCCGTGGCATCTCGGTCGGCCCCGTGACCTGACAGCGGGCGTTCGACACTTCACGTGGCCTCAAGGTGCACATTGCCTGGCACAAGTGTGGTGGTGACGTCACCGTGACTTAGTAGTGAATGGCGGTTGTTGGTTGTTGCAGTCGCACAACGCCTTGGAAGCATTGCGAGGTGGCCGGGAGATAGCAGTGATTGACGGATCTACGTACGTGGCCAAGCTTTGAGGAGTTTACTCACTCGTACATGTGGGGTCTGTCAGGGTCACTCGATTTTGGCAAAATATTACCCAACGAAATTGACCAATCATTCCAGTGCATGAGCCTTTTGGATAAAAAAGCATTGTTTTGTAAGTGGGTGTGAGTGTGCTGTTGTGATCTGCAAGTGCGGTGGTTTGGTTAAAAGAGTCTGGTAAAAGCGAGTAGTCAGCGTGGCAGAACTAGATGCTGCAGTGTTGTCAAGCATCACATCGTATGGCTCCTGCCCGTTGCTTTTGTGTGCAGGTACCGTACCTGGGCTTCTGTGCCTGTCAAGAGCTGGAGGAGGCGGGAATCTGGCAGATGGTGGACCCACCCATACTGCCCCTCACGCACGGCCCAAACCCAGCCTTCTGTTGGCGCGAGGCCCTCTGTGAGGACTGAAATCATCCGGGAAAACACAATTCATTTATATTTATTATTGTTATTATTTTATATTAAACGAAGAAAGGAATAGTATAATAATGTATATTTCCCCGCATTTCTCTGCTATCACCGAACATATGTGTGTAAAACACAAATCACCCCCCCCCCACAATAAAGGTTGTGGCCGGTCGAGAGGGGATTTTTTTTAAATGTAACATTCTCATGGGAAATAAAGCAGCGTGTACTAAATGCATTGCGCCACACTTGCGCCACTATTAGATTGCTATGTCACACTCGTTTATAGATGGGGGGGGGGGGGTGGTCCTTACAAGTTTTGTAAATTAATTTATTATTTTTTAACACATATACACATATATGTATATATATGTATACATATATACGCGTGAGGTTGCTTGGTATCGAAATTCTCTCTCGATCGGGCACGGAAAGGCCTCCCTGTCCATGGTACTAAAATACCAACAAATGTGATGATGTTTCTTCCAAAAGAAAGTGGAAGAAATAGCCGGGGGATAGCCTTCTCCATCGTTGGGAGAACTAAACGTTAGTGTCACCTCACTTTTGTTGGAGGGGAACACATTAATGATGCTCGCAATTCCTTAAAAAAAGCATTGAATGTTACTACGCTCTATTTATCTTCCCAATGTTAGAGGAGAGAGAGAGATTGTACGGTTTAAGGCAGGTACTGGTGTTAGTGTGTCGTGTGGGAGGTATGTTTCGTCTTGGGAACTTAATCAACATTGAGTTACCTCATTGTTAATCACAGGCAGGTACTTTTTTTGTTGTCACGGTTTACTTTACTCGATCGGTAACAGGCGTACAGCGGCCTACAGCGGTCCCTTCTCGTGGTGTCTTCTATATACTTGCATGGTGGTCTTTGTAGATGTTGTCTGTGTGCTTGTTCCTACCACATACATTTACGATGGCAATCACAATTGAGTTACCAAAATTGAATATTTAAATCTAATATAGTATTCACATTATATGAACATTTACATCCAAAAAGTTAAAGGCACTCCTTTTTTTTACTTTTGTTATTGATTACATTATATTTTTATAGCACTTAACGAAGCTGCAGCATACATGTGTTTCGGTGTCGCGAGAGCTAAGTGACATTTGAGGTTTCTATAGCGCAGGCGTCTGCAACCTGCGTTTGTCAATTCGGATATTGATGTACGTCACATTACAGTGTACTCTGCACAGGCAGATGTGAGCGGCACATACGCCGCTGTGGTTACGTGCGTTCCCGTATCCGTCAATGCCCGGCATATATCCGGGGATATATTTGAGCGGTGGACGAGCGGGTCCATGTTTTCAGGCGCCACAGGCCCTCCGAACAACTCGACCGCGTTCGTTCAGCGTTGATCCACTTGTCGTGCAGTCGTTACCGCGTGTTCATCGTTGTACAGGGGAGAGACCCTCTGCTACCAACTCGGCTTACACAGGGCTAGGGTTGCAGTGTCTCGATTATGCATGACAGCAGAGGCCAAACACGATACATGCGGATTCCTTCCCCTTTGCGATGTTCTGTCACCGCGCCCTGGCGTAATCGATGCTCGCTGCTTTATCCACAAAATTACACACGTGAGCATCGCGCTCCACACCCGAGTCACCAATGCAAACCGTCGTATGTCGCATTGTCTGAAAGTATTTCCGTGCTTGGCGGTTAGGAACGGCGAGCCGATTGTAACTCTGTGAGCTGCACAGGCAATTCTATGTTACCCATGAGCTCCTGCCAGACACCTTCTCTTCGGTACGCGAAGACTTCAGTTGACCTGCCGCGTGTCACCTACCCGGTTAATCCTTCCTTTTGATTATGACACTGAATGCGCAGCTCTACACACACAAGGGTGCTCTCCCATCATTCCAGCATCGAGGATCAAATCACACTGCTGTGGCTCACGAAATGAAGCAGTCAAAGCTGAGTGCTTGCGGAAGGGTGTGGCTAAATTAAATAATGTGATAATCATGGGAATTTTGTTTACTTATTGGGCTTCATAATGGTTCAGTAATAACATAAATAATGTACAGTCCTTTAGCAATCCACTGCCAAATGATGGGCTCCCATGCCTTCAGTTGGGGTTGGTTGACCATATTTCACCCGTGCTGGTCAGTATATAAATTGGTAATTGCTTTAGGGGGCCAAGACCGGTTCAAATATCACTCTCCACTGACGTTAGCTGGAATCGAACTCAGGTTACCGAGCTCACGGTGCAGTGCGCTTACCACCGCACTCGCCCCATATTGGAATTTGGAATAGACACCCCCCCGAGCACTGAAAGTCTGCCATGTACAATTAACCAGTCAGGCAGGTTGTCAAAATAGTCAGGTGGAGATGTGGTTAACCCTGATTACTGGAAATGCTCGTACGCGCTTTTGTTTCAGGCGCACAAAATTGCCATTCGTGTGAAGGGTGTGCCACTGGGTGGGGCTTTGGAGCAGTGTGCTTCCAGGATGGAATGTTTCAGTAGATTTGACTCCGCGTTCAGTGCTTGTCCGTAGCATTGTCCTGACCCGATGCAATATAGGAATTAAAGTGCAGGCTGAATGCAGTTACCAGGTCACGCTGCTAGCCGTGCAGAATTTGCGTTACTTTAACACGTTGCCTTTAATTATCGGGGTTTTGATGCCGCCTTTAATGAATGGCGAGAGAGGCTGAAGCAAGTTCTTTGGGGACGGCGGCAAACAAATGTGGTACGAAATGACCGAGCAGATTAGACAGGCGGTGGGGGGGGGGCGACCCCCTTGAATTTAACCCTCTGATGTACAGGGTGGTGGTCCAGATGTCTTGTGACCCCCCCCCCCCCCAATTTAATTGACGCGCTAATAAAACATTTCCCGTTGCATACTAATTCATGTTTTATATACAGCTTATACTTTTTTCTTCTTGGTTCTTTCGGCAAAGCCATGTGATTTTACCGAAAGAACCAAGAAGATGAATCCTTGCAGTCACGAAAGCTTTAAATCGAAGCTTATACTTTCTTGGAAGTAATTGGAGGGGGGGGTCACAATACATCTCGACCACCCTGTAAGAATACTATAGGTGGCAGATGTAACACTTGGGGAATGCGGTGCCGTGACACCATTCAGCGCCCCCTCTAAAAAGTAAAAAAAAAAACCTTTTCCGTGGGGAAACAACAAAAATGCATTCGGAAGATTTTAATCTTCGTGAGCGACACGTAACTCGATTGACCAACTTCCGATTGATATTAAAGGGTAAAAAAAATTAAGGAGCACGAAACAAAGTTCAACCATTGACAATGGTTAATTATGCTAATTTTTCGGTCACGTTTACATGCCAATGCGAATTCAAGTGTGGAAAAAAAATTCATCCACTCGTCTCAAATGTTTAAACTTGGACTGAGCAAATGGCCGTCGTGTTTGCTTGGAATCTCAAGCTCGTTACTGTTTGAAAAATGCATTCTGGGATTGCATTGTCGCACAGATATTTTGTCGTTTCACAAGTCCCAATACGTGATATTTCCATAACGCCCTTCAATATTGGCATGCGTTTTCTCGTTCGCGCATCTTTGGTATCGTGTTCAAATGTCCGGCCCCATCTGTGGTTTTGTTACGAAGATAAAAGAAACAAAAAACACCGTTCCCCCCCTGTGTACTAAACTTGCTTTGCCAAAATATCGTTACAGACCATCGCGGTGCTGTGAGCTATATACATATTCCACTAATCTACGCTGTGATCGTGTCTTGTTTGTGGTCATCCGAAAACTGCTCGCGGATTCGTGAAGCAGCATTGTAATCTAGCGCACTGTGTGCTTTATGCAAAAAAATAATCCTTCAAAGCAATTTATCAATACAGGTATATATTTAAAAAAAGAAGTATAAGTTTGTGTACAAGTTAAACAATTATATATGTGTACTTTGCACCAATGAATTAAAGTATATTAACATGTGGACGAGCATTTATACGATTACTTTCGTTTTCGGAGATTTTTTTTTTTACGTATAATGTACGCACATAATATGCACAACGAGCCCCATATTTTGTTGTTATGATTTTAAAATGTTCTGTTTGTTTGAAATCTTTACTTGCACTGGGGATTGTGTTGAATGACGTGTGTTCATCATAAATACTTTTTTTGTTTGCTCAGGGCGCAAGGGAGGCAAAGCCAAGCCTGTGCGCGCCCCTTGTCCCAGGATTGCGGTGTCGTTCATTCCGACACATTTGTTCAAACGGGGGGAATGTACGAGTTACCTTTTCCGCGAAAATTCGTGCAATCCGTGAATTCAAAGCAGGTATAAGTGTTTCAGGAAATAAAAAAAATTATACGAGACAAAAAAAGGTATTCACGTGTTTAACGATTTGACGACGACATTAAAAGCATGATTCTGCGCCAAGGGCCTTCTCTTGTTTTCTTCATTAGTTGGTGCAACATCAAAGACGTTTCCACGTGCAAATATTTGTTTTAGCAAATATATGGGGGGGGGGGGGGCATAATGTTGGGCATGCCTGGGTGAGTAAATTGATCGGTCATGATCATCGATCGGCAACCAAAATAACAAGAGACATTTTTGTTCGAATTCGGTAAAAAAAACCTCTATTTCAAGAGCTGCAATGCACTTCGTGGTGAATGCGAGAGACGGTGGTTTCCTTATTAAATAACGGGTCACGAAGCGGTCCTTAAAGAGACAGCCGCACGTGGCTGCGGAGCCGCAGGTTGCCGACTTCCCTGATCACTCAGCTATTTCAATGCTAAATTATCCTGTTTGATTTGTACTAGGTGCCTCTGTGGATGTGTAAGCTTTAACTTTAACATAGCTATTTCTATGACCAGTCACAAGCTAATCACTCAGCTATTTCAATGCTAAATTCTCCTGTTTTATATGTAAACCCCTTTGGCAAGGTGCCTCACCTCTCTAAACCAGCTTAAAAGACGCTACGAATCTTAACGTTCATTGAAGAAGGCCACTTGTGTTGTGGCCGAAACGTCGTGAGAATTTTATTGTGTTATTTTATTTTATACATTTATTATTTTATTCTCATTCTACGTGACTTTACCAAAAGAACCAAAGAAGATGATTCCCTGGTCACGTTGAAGGCATTTGTTGTGTTGCCCCCCGCCCCCCCCCCCCTCATCTGTGGAACTCCCCTATACCTTGGAGACCAGGCTCTCGCATAGTCTAAAATCCTATCCGTTTAAAACTGTTTCCAGATGAGTTTTGTACCTCTTCCGTTGTTACCTTTCTTCTCCATATTCGTGGCGTCCAGAGACTCCTTTTGCGAAAGGCGCCGTATAAGTGTACTTTATTCAACACATTACATAAAATCCGTGATCTGGTTCCGTCTGTAAAAGATGTGATTCTGGACATACAGTACCCTGGCGTCTACAAACTAAGTAGCCTCTGTGGTGGTAGTTACATTGGAGAAACCAAACGACATGTCTCGGACCGCATCCGTGAACACAAAGCAGACCTGAAATACGGTAGGACCAACACCTCGGCCGTGGCATATCACTGTTATAATTCAGAAGGCTCACTTGACATTGACTTCTACAAGACAGAGGTTCTCTGCAAACCATCTGGCTACCATGAGAGATTCGTTCATGAGGCTATCCACATATACAAACACAGACAATTTCAACCGAGAAGATTGATTCTGGCTTAGCAATCATTGGAAGGATTTGATAAACCATTTCGGGTCTTAATTGTTTGTTCACGCTTACGGTGGCTTTCAGACCGCATCCATTATTTTCGTCTCCCCCTCTTTTCCGAACATAGATGGACTCGTCCATCTGAATAACTGCCAAATCGCTCTCGAGCAGAAATATTTTTTTTCGCAAATTCGCTTTAAGATTCAAGTTTATTGAAAGTGAGTCTTAATAAATAATTCTACGCAGCAACAAAGTGGATTTGGTGCCTATTTCTTCAGCACTTGAGACAAAAGGTAAGTCTAATTTATGCGTCTTCATTACGGTAAAATAGACATTTCTCGGTGATTTTCCAGATATTCTATCGAATTCCAATTTCTTTCAACCCCAGCGACCGACAGCAGAAGAATAACGTATCAGAGCAGTGAATTTGAACAAATTGAAGGTCAATTATATAGAGTAATACAGTGACATGAAGTGAGGTGTTTTATGATAACGTTTTGTGCAAGAATCACTGCCATTAATAAAGTGCTACAGTGAAATGCAGTGAAGTGTTTGATGACATACTTTAGTGCAAGTTTCACTGCCATTAAATTTACACAATTTTTTTGCTCAATTTTTTCCGTGAATATTACAGCTGACGACCTAGGATGGGCAAAGAAGCTCGTATGGTGTACTAGCTGTACTACCCGGCTTCGCCCGGGACTTGGATTCACCACACCCGGCCGCCTTTGTCTCCCCAGTGGCGATGTTCACACCACAACAGTTACTCGTTTGAGGCTGAGTCAACCTAGGGGAGGCCCAGGACCGGTTCAAATAATCGTCACCGGTGGTGGCCGTGAGCGGGGAATCGAACTCGGGTCGCCGGGTTCGCAGCATGGCGCGCTAACCACTACACTACAATGCGTTACGCTTCCACATGCGAGGGTCACGTGACAGATTTGACGTCACAGCTCACTTGCCGTGCAAAAAATAAATGCATTATTGAGCTCCCCCCCCCCTAAAAATAAACAGAAGTGTATTTTTATAATTTTTGCATGGTGTAGAGTCTGGAAAGTACCCGCATGGCAAATTCAAGTTTGTTGCATGTCGGGAAGTACGCTAAACATTTTGAACAGACACATTCACAACTTTGCCTTTTAGATATATATCGAGATAGCTACGCTGGTCTTTATCTCTCTATCTCTGGCTGGGTGGTGCTGTGGCAAGTGTTTAACGTGAATGGGAGACAGCCTGGGAACACCTGGTGTGGGCATGGCCTGCTCGATGGCCAAGCCATGGTGACACAGCAATTGGATTTTCTAATCGATCTGTGCGGAGTTATGAGAGTTTCCTCTTCATGTGTTTTGTTTTCTCCCGCTACTCCGGTCTCAACCTGTGTGCCACTCATATAGTTAATAGAATTGCTCCAATATAAATATATATTGTATTTTCTTCAATGAATTGAATTGGCCAAACATCCCGATGTACGTATGGATGTTGAACTTCTTTCGCACCGTACGTAGCCAACCGTGTTAATCCGAGATTGAGGGGGAAGGGTTATAGTTAAATGTGTTTATGTGTGTTGAATTTATTTCGCATCGTACGTAGCCAACCGTGCTAATCGGAGGTGCGGGGGGTGGGGGTACAACAAACTAAACACAGAAAACACTTCTAAAGAAATGGTATTTCATCTCTAGAAAATGCAGGATCTCTCTTTATTCAAGTTTTTTTCTAGTTAATTACAGGGAATTGGTATTAAAACTTGCAGGTCATGTTCTGAATTGCATTGCAATTCATAAATGGGCACGGATTAAAAAAATGAGTTGAGTTGTATTTGTTGTTCGTGCTTTGCCAACGCAGCCACAACACAATGACAGTAAATGTCTTTTGTTAGCCCCCTTTGTCAATCCACTGCTGGATGAAGTCCTCCCCAGGGTGTCGGGGTTATGTGACCAACATCGCCATGCTGGTCAGGGCAGGTTTTGTGAGCCAGGGCCACGAATGGTTTCGCTCGCCGCTGACCGTTAGTGACGGTTGGTAACGTATGGTGTGAACGAAGTTCAACATACATATCGGGTTGCCGAGTAACATTTATATCAACACAGTGCCGTGATTATGGTTTGAATAAGTAACGTTCAATGTTCTGCGTACATTTCTGTTTTGTTAACGATGAGTATGTTTGCATTGCTCTGGCTAGAATAACAGAGATAAGGGAACGGTAATATAATTACTCTTCTGTATTTTTTATTTTCAATCGACTCATTTTGAACACAAATGTGTTGTCCAACTTGTTTTGCCGTTTAAATAATTATCTTGTATTTTTTTTAAACCTATAAGGAGACGAAAAAAATCTGCATCATATCACTCCCAGGAGAGAGAATGAAGTTTGTATTTGGCAATCTCAAATATGCACGCATTTGGGAGCTTTCTGTAAATGAGCTGCCAGCATACTCCGATTTGTTGATGTTACCGAGGTATTAAGTCAATATTAAGTAAATATTGTATTCATGTCCTTCATGGCATTGTGTGAAATATGAGATTATTCTGACACATGTTTGTATTTATTTGTCATTGTTACCGTGTCCCCAGCTAGCCTTCCGTATGGCTGATGTAGATGCAGAGCATCAACTACAATGTCACATTTAGAATCCGAATATTTATTTGCACTGGAGGAATCTGATGAGCAATACATTTCTTTTTCACAGATGTCCAGTAGGGGCATATCAGAACGCTACAACAACAAACAATACAACAACACGACAGGAGGGCAACGTTAAGTAAAGGTAACAAATAACTTAAAAAAATATATAACTACGTCGGGAGTAGCGGAGTGTATCGCTGTGATGTCTCCTTCGTATTTGTGGATCGGGCATTGTGGCGTTAAACGTTGTGCGGTCTGTTCTGGGTGGCCACAGTCACGCACTGGAGAGTTTTAAACTCACAAATTTGTGTACTCTTTGGTTCTTTCGGTAAAGTCACGTAGGTAGAAAGATAATAGATCACGACCTTTCTATGGCAACACAAGCAATCGTCATCAGGTGGGACAACTACAGCAAGACAAAACTGCTGAAGTAGGCGTGAGATCTGCCGTGGCACGAGGTTCTAGAGGCCTCGGCAGTGCTGCTGCGGTGGTCCACTTTCTGCCCCGCCTCCTTCCCACCCCCCCCACTTCTCTCCCCCCCTACTGCCGAGGCCTACTATATAACCTCGTGCCACGGCAGATTTCTCGCCTACTTCAGCAGTTTTTTTTCTTGCTGTGGTTGTCCCACCTGATGACGATTGCTTGTGTTGCCATCGAAACGTCGTGATCTATTATATTTCATACCTACAGTGAGCTTCGTGGAAGATCAAATCCCCCAGGGATCTTGCTGCATTGCATCTTTCACGACAATGTGTTTGCTTGCGACTTCTTTTGAACTCCATTCAGCTTCTGGGTTCTTTCGGTAAAGTCACGTAGAATGGAGATCAAATTATAAAAAAATTATAATAACAGAATAAAATTCTCACGACGTTTCGGCCACAACACAAGTAGCCTTCCTCAGGTGAAGAAACAGGACTGTCCGGAAGACAGCGCTTGAGTGAACCCTGCCAAGCTTGACAGCGTCTTTTAAGCTGTGTGGGAGGAACAGAGCGCCTTGACAAAGGAGTTTACATATAAATTAGCATGTAACTGGGGGATTAGCATGATGTTGGCGTCGGAACGGAGGAGGGGGGAGAGGAGTTTACATATAAATTAGCATGTAACTGGGGGATTAGCATGATGTTGGT